CCTGTGTTGGCATGAAGAGTAAGCCAGCTCTCAGAAACTCCAGCTCTTTATGCGCAGGTGGTGGGAGCCATGAAAGACCATGTGAGGCCCTTCCCTTTGATCGCATAGAAAATCAATAGGTGGAATCCTGAAACCAGCTCTTATAATTCAGTTTACACTGTAACAGTAAAATCAATAACAGAAAACACAACTAAAAACAGACCAATCCAAAGAATCACAGCTTTTAGCATGAAGAAATTTTTTTATACAATTCAGATTTTTAAATCTTACTCTGTTCTGACGTAGAATTTCTTCTTTAATTTGTTGAAAAATCAACTTACTGGCATTTGGAATTTCCCCCCCCCCATGAGATGCCCATCTATCATTGAGACTGGTTTCCCTTTAAGAGATCAAAGCTCTGATGGATTTGAATAAAGACCCAAAAGCCTGAAGGCTTATGCAAGTTTATCTATATAGACTAAGCCTGAAAAACTGTCTTAGAAGAGCTCATTTTCTCATGAGATTTTTGGGACTTCCTCTGTCTGGTTGTGCCAGAAATACTGTGAGAATATCCAATCTCATGGCATCTTTCACTTGCAGGTCTGTGTCACTTGGAATTTCAAAGTATAATCGTTTGTGAAATGTTTTATAGATAGTATGGCTGCAGGAAGGCTCTCGCTAAAGCTGCAGTTAGACAGTGTCTATTCCGTCCTATGCTCTTGGTAATGAACAGCAAAGTTCAGAAAGGACCCTTGCTGATGTGACACATTTATGCTGTGGCAATCTTCTTGAATTGCTCAAAATTTCCATTTTTCTCAACTATTTCCGACAGTTGGCACACAAAAAAAGGGTAGGGTAGATGGAATCCAAATTCATGGATACTTCACAGAGAACATCTTTGTGCTTAGTCTCACATGCGGCACAGGAAGCTGCCTCAGTTAACTGCAGAGGAGCATCGAGTTATGTTCCTAAAGGGATGGAGGTGAGGCTCGGCGTCCAGATCAGCATGAGTCCAAGCAGGGCAGAGATCTGTGGACTCCATCTCTGGCGCCTTTATCCTCTCCACTTTTGAGTCAAGGTCTCAGTACCTACCCCATGTTAGCTTTGAACCTCTGCTTTTCAACTGTTGGGATTTTGCCTTGTTGCTACCGTGTTTGACCTTTTCTGAAGTATTTTGAGATCTCTCCAAAATACTTTTCTTCCCTACTCTTTGGGGCTGGGCTCCCCCTACCTGGAAAATAGATTTAATTCATTTGGTAAGTGGTTTTTGAGCTGTTGATTATTGTGTCTGCTACTGAGATTTCATGTCTGTGTTATCCCTCATTTTACTAACCTGATATCATTCATGCTTCTTTCTTTTTATCCTGTATGTGCAAAATTTTGCCATTCTCGCACTTTTTAAGTTGTCCTTTAAAACAATAACTAACTCCTTGTTGTCTCTGAGCTATTTTTCAGATGTCATTTCTAACATGTTTTTCCCATCATCTCTTTCTTTTCTCCTCCCCTCATTCCGTCCTTCCCTCCCTCTCGCCATCATTGTGGTATGAACACACGAAAGTCTCTAGGACTTGCTGATGAGGACTACACAGGGCACCAGACTGTGCAGTTAAGCAGGGAAACCAAGAGACACAGTGTCTCCCTCTTAGTGCCTTCTCTGCGGCTGCACTCCTTTAATCTCATTTCCACACCACTTACCAGGCTCGTTTCCTGTCTGGGGTTCTTCTTACCTAACATTTGGCTTCTCCACCTGTGCAGTGGGACTTTGCTATCAAAGGAGTCAACACCTTACGTCATTGTCGATTCATTTTTCTTAGATTAAATTTTATACATTTGTATTTCTATGCACATATAGTAGGGTAAGTGGGAGGAGCCCATAGGTCCATCTGCAGGAACACAGTGTCTCTCATTGTCTTAGAACCTGCCAATCAGTTTAGAATGACCACTGTGCTCCAGGACTTTTGACTGTCTCGGCGTCCCTGTGCATTACAGTCACATTGTTTTTCCCATGGTTTCTGGGAATTGAATTAAGGTCTTCATACTTTCAAGGCGAGCACTTTCTGCACAGAGGTACCTCCTAAGTCCACAAAAATATAAAATTCATACATGTTTAAAGGTGCTAAGCAGAGCCTCACTATTTATTTATTCATCCACTTATTTATTTATTTATTTATTTATCCATTTATTTACTTATTTTTATGCATATGAGTGCTTTTCCTGTATATTTGTTTGTATACCGTGTGTATGCCTGGTGCCCATGGAGGCCAGAAGAGGGTGTTAAGTCTTTTGAATCTAGAGTTGCAGATGGCTATGAGCTGCCTTGTGGCCATGCTAATACCCAGTGGCATGCACGGCATTCTTGTCTTCACATCTTTGCGTTTCATTTCTTTCTTTTGTTGGTTTTGCTTAAGAGTCTGATGGATATTGGTTAGTTTTTGAGATTTGATCCTTAGCATTTGAATTCTCATTCCTAGCTCTGAGAAGGTCCTGGGTGTTTGACAGGAATTGCATGTAGTCTACTTTGGGAAGCACAGCATTTTAATACTGATTTTTGTTTTTAAACCACAGCATAGATGTCTTTTCTAATTTTTTGTTTTCTTTCCAAATTATTATTTTTTTTACTACCTAGCATATTATACATCCTAGGCAAATGTTCTACCATTGAAGAGATCTTTCTTCTTTCTACCTCTTCTGTATCCCAGATATTTTTTCTTTCATTGGTCGTTCTTCTCTCTCCCCTTCCCTTTTTTCCTTTCTTTCTTCTTTCTTTTCCTCCCTCGCTCCTCCTCTGTTTCTATCTTGATTTCTGTGTTTTCTGACAGTGTTATGTAGCCTAGGCTAGCTTTGAATGGCTTTAAATTATCTGATCCTGCTCTGTCATCTCCCCCATGCTGGAATCACAGGCATGTGCCCTTTGGCTGGATATGTGATCATGGTATCAAAATTAGGGCTTTGTGTAATGTCAGGCTTATACTCCACCAATGGCACTCCACACCCAGCCTTTAGATGTTTTTTAACAACTATTATAAATAGGATTTCTAATTAATGTACTGATTTCTAGTTTAGGCAGCCTACTTGGTTATTATAAAAAAGATTACTCAGGTTTCATAGAATACATTTTCTTTTTCTTTTAAGCTATGCTTGGCTGGAATATATCTCTGTGGTAGAGTGCTTGCCTAACTTATATATGTGTGATGCCCAGGACTACCCCCCCCCCCCCCCCCAAAAAAAAACTAAAAAAAAAAAAAGGGGTTCTATGCTTATAAATTTCTTGCTAAGTCTACTTCTCTGTGAGACTGACCACTGTGCCTGTAAAGTCTACAGACCTTACTTTACACAACCCTGCATACTGTGGTGCAGATGGAGGCTGCATCTTCAACACAGTAGAGAAGGACACTACAGATGCTTTTTGTTCTTGCTAATGCAGGAGCATGCTGAGGAGTCTTCTGTGCTGTCCTGTATCCTAGGTAGAAAGCGAAGCTGCTGACTCATTGCTGTCAAAAGTATCACATTGGGAACATCTCAGTGAAGCACGTTTGTTTTTCACTCACTATTTGTCTCTGTTTTATTTCCTATTCTAGAATTCTGTGCTTGGCAGGTGCTCTGCCACTAAGGCTCATTCTAAGCTCAAAATATCTTATCAGTAGTGTTCAATGCACTCAGTGTTTGCTTGCTGAAGAATTTGCATTGGTGTGTACTGTTCCTCCTAAGCCAGGCACCATCGAATACATTTGTAACTGCAGTGCTAGGAGGCTGAAGCAGGAGAACCTTGAGCTAGCGCCTGCCTAGGATTCAGTGTTAGGAAGGAAAGAATGAAAGGGGAGAGAGAGGAAGGGAGGGAAGGAAGGAAGGAAGGATCGAACGAATGAAGGTAATTCCAAGAGGGAAATAAATTTAACCCCGCACTGCTTTGTGTTACATCTCATCAGGAGTGTTTAGAGACTACTACTGCTCTGGTTATGACATCCCTGTACATCTCTCTCTCTCTCTCTCTCTCTCTCTCTTTTTTTTTTTTTTTTTGTTATTCCTCAGGCCTTAAATTTCCCTGCTCCTCCACTCTTTATCTAGCCAGGTTACCTCCCACGTGGCCTGTGAGTCCATTTCCAAATAATTGTTCCCACATGTACTTATCTTCACTCCTAGACAGTTAGCACTGAATCATTCTGTGTGCTGTAAGATTTGTGATAAGAAGTAGAGGAGCCCCCACAGTGTGTTACCTGAGGCTGAGACACTCATCAGATCCATGCTTAGTAGCTGACGAATGTATATGACATAAACATATCCTGAATTTTATTAGCTTGCTGCATATTGATGCTGAATCTTCACTTCAATATAAGCATAGTCATCTGATAATGAATTGTCAACTATTGTCTGCATTGACCTTGAGATAAGTTACTCAGGGTGAGTCAAGTATTAAAAGCTTTCCTCCTTTATTGTGTTACAGATATGCATTCATCTTTTCTCTAAGGTTCTCTGCTGCATATGTGTACTATTGTCTGAGTGTGTGTATGCTAACTGCTCTCTCTTGCATCTCAGCAATACCTGTGATTCCTTCTACTAGCTTAATGACATTGGAATCTGTGTGGGGCGTCAGAGTTTCTCATTAGGACTTGCGTAGCTTAACCTGTTAATTCCAGGGCGGTGATGGAAACAGGCAGATGCTTCTCCTTGAGCAGCACCGTTTTGTTAGCAGTCACCATCTTCCTGCTAAGCTCTAGAAGACGCCTAGGGTTACACAGTTAGTTTGAGGATTGATGCAGTCCTCACAGGCCCCTTGTCCTGACCTCACAAACAAGGCCAGTCTGAGTGGTGGGGCCTCGGCAGGGGAGTCTACCGAAGAATCTGCCCCGTCTTGGGGTGTTCATTGCATTGGAAATTCAGGTTTCGGGGTATGACACTTACTGAACTCTCTCCCCAACAGTACTTTTAAAAAAATGTTCTGTAATTCATTTAATCAGAAGATGTGGATCCTTTACGTAGAGAAAACTATCTGAACTTCTGAAGTTGATCAAAAGATTTAAGTCGTGCTCGCTTCGGCAGCACATATACTGAAATTGGAACGATACAGAGAAGATTAGCATGGCCCCTACACAACGATGACTCCAAAGTTCGTGAAGCGTTATGTATTTTTTGAAAGAAGTGGGAAATGGTAAGATCTGGAGAAGGACAGGAGCTCTATAAGGAGAGCAACAGAACCAAAAAATCTGAGCACAGGGGTCTTTCCTGAGACTCATACTCCAACTTCAACCAAGTACCATACATGGAGATAACCTGTAGCCCATGGCAGTTCAGTGTTCAAGTGGGTTCCATAGTAATGGGAACAGGGACTGTCTCAGACATGAACTGATTGGCCTGTTCTTTGATCACCTCTGCCTGAGGTGGGAGCAGCCTTACCAGACTACAGAAGAAGACAGTGCAGCCACTCCTGATGAGATCTGATAGACTAGGATCAGAAGGAAGGGGAGGAAGTGGACTTGGGGAGGGGCATACGTGAAGAAAGGAGAGGGAAGGTGGGATTGGGAGGGGAGGAGGAGGGGTTTATGGGGTGATACAAAGTGAATAAAGTCAATACCCGTCAAATGGCTCAAAAAGTTAAACATCAACAAATCGAGTACTCTAATTAAAAAATGGGGTACAGTGCTAAACAGAGAATTCTTAATAGAGGAATATCGAATGGCAGGGAAACACTTAAATGCTCAACATCCTTAGTCATCAGGGAAACCAAATCAAAATGACCCTGAGAATTCACCTTATACCCACCAGAATGGCTAAGATCAAAAACTCAAGTGACATCACATGCTGGAGAAGATGTAGAGAAAGGGGAACCCTCCTCCACTGCTGGTGGGAATGTAAACTTTTACAACTACTTTGGAATTCAGTCTGGCGCATTCTTGGAAAATTAGGAATAGTGCTACCTCAAGATCCAGCTATACCACTCCTGGGCCCAAAAGATGGCCCACCATACAGTAAGGACATTTGCTCAACTGTGTTCATAGTAGGTATATTTATAATTGCCAGAATCTGGAAACAACACAGATGTCCCTCACGGAGGAATGGATACAGAAAGTGTGGTACATTTACACAATGGAATACTACTCAGCAATTAAAAAGAAGGAAATCATGAAAATTGCAGGCAAATGGATAGAACTAGAAGAGATCATCGTGAGTGTGATAACCTAGAAACAGAAAGACAGGCTTGGTATACACTCACTTATAAGCAGATATTAACCATATAACATAGGATTGCCATGCTAAAATCTAAACACTAAGGAGGACCCTAGGGAAGTTACTCAGAAAGTAAATAGGATAGACACCTGAAGCAGGAGAAAACAGGGAACAGGACAGGACCATAGAGAGCCTCTGAAAGACTCTACCTAGCAAGGTATTAAAGCAGATGCTGAGACTCATAGCCAAACTTTGGGCAGAGTGCATGGAATCTTGTGAAAGAAGGGGGAGATAGAAAGACTTGGAGGGGACAAGAGCTCCACAAGGAGAGCAACAGAATCAAAAAATCTGTGCCCAGGGTCCCTGCAGAGACTGAACTCCAATCAAGTATCATGAATGGAGAGAACCTAGAACCCCTGCACCCATGTAGCCCATGGCAGCCCAGTGTCCAAGTGGGTTTCGCAGTAAGGGGAATAGGGATTGTTTCTAACATGAACTCAGTGGCTGGCTCACTGATCACCTCCCCCTGAAGGGGGAGCAGCCTTACCAGGCCACAGGGGAAAACAATGTAGCCAGTCCTGATGAGAGCTGATAGGCTAGTGTCAGATGGAAGGGGAGGAGGACCTCCCCTATCAGTGGACTGGGGGAGGGGCATGGGAGGATATTAGGGAGAGAGGGTGGGATTAGGAGCGGATGAGGGAAGGGGCTACAGCTGGGATAAAAAGTAGTGAATAAATTGTAAGGATTAAAAAAAAAAAAATTCCCCAGTCAGGTGAAATACTGAAGTTTTGTTAGAACAGTGGCCTTGCTAATGATGAGCAGAAAACCACACTGCTTTTGTAAGAATTGGATGGCTGTGGGGGAGTCTATGGGAACTGGCAGATAGCTAACATCCAGGTGTAAAAACCTGAGTCTAGATTTTTAGCATTTGTGTAAAAAGCCATGCCCAGCAGCACAAATAGATGTTCCCAGTGTTGAGGACTGAAACAGCTCCCAAGAGCTTGCTGGCCCAAGTAAGTAAGACACCTGGCATTGACCTTCACATGTGTCTATGCTACGTGTACCCGTGTGCACATGTGCACATTTGCAATCTCTAAGACCTGTCAGTGTGCTCACTTCTGTGACCTGACAATCCCTATAACCTTTAATTATACTCGCATCAATTTCCTGTAAATGTTATCTCAGTTATTTGTCTCCTTGTTCATTCGCATGTGTGTAGAGATCAGGTGACAACTTGTAGGAACTTGGTTTGCTTCAACATATAGGTTTGCAGGCTGCTGAGGCTGTGGGGCTTCAGTGCAAGTCTTTTCCCACTGAACCATCCTGCCAACCCTTCCTTTCTTCCTTAAATGAAAGCCTTTTCCGGGGGAGGGGTGTTCCTGTCAGTGATGCTCTGGTTTGTTTCTCTTTGTAGGGAAGCTGAACAGCCAAGACTCTTACAATAACTTTACCAACAACAACCCTGGCAACCCCCGGCTTTCTCCCCTCCCCAATTTGATGGTATTGACTCCTCTTGCACAAATCAAACAGCCAATGACATTGGGGACCATCACGAAACGAACAGGGTAAGGCCTCAAGCTTGATGCTGTTTCCAGAGTCGCTGTAGAGGATGAGATGGATAGAAATTGAACATTTTTATTTTCATTGTGTGTTTTTGATCATGTCCTTCATTTTCAGCCCAGTGGCAGCTGAGTTACTACAGAGTCCGTAACGCTCACAAGCACGCTCACACATAGCCGTGTACACACATCCACAGTGAGAAATAAAGCGGTGACAAGCTGTGAAAACTAGCATTGGCTAATGAAAAACAGGTCCCAGCACTCCACCACACTTCATGCCGTTGTCTGATTGTACAGTTGGCTCTTACCAACATGATTGGCATTCAAACAGCATGCTCATAACACAGTGCATTTTGACTGATGCAAATATTAAGAAACATTTTCTAGATGACAACTGGAATTTAGTAAGTTTATGAAAATCCAGCTAATCATTTACATTACTAATCTATTATTAGTAATGTTCTATTACATATAGCTCAAAAACAGTACAAGATTAGTCCCTAACATTCTTAAAGACTCTCCATAACATTCTTGAATTATTTGCAGTGGTCACTTTAGCTGTTTAAAATTCTCTACGTGTTTGAAATATAAACTAATGGATTTTTGAGACTGTGAAGGAACTACTATTTTTCTTTTATTATTAGATATTCAGTTTTATGATGATACTGACTGTCCATCTTGGACTATTAAATTTGTACTTCTGTAGTCATTTTTCTAGGCATATTCTTTATTTTCTTCAAAGTACAGTCCCAGTCTTTAATTGTATTCTAAGTAGAATACAAAATAGTTCTTGGATTCTCCCCCATGCAAAACTATGTATTAAAATTCTCTATTAAAATAGTCTGGAAAAAGCCATATGTTGGCCTCAAGTAGTCCTTAGGTTCTCTCCCGTGGGGGGGAAAAATTAAATTTTTTGGCCACTCTGTCAATACTGTGCTAATATGTAAGTGCTTATAGAAGTCACTTTCAGATGCTGAGCTTGGTGGTGCACACCTGTAATCCCACTCGGGGGCAGAGGCAGGCAGCTTGCTGTGAGTTCGAGGCCATCCTGGTCCACAAAGTCCAGGACAGCCAGTGCTACACAGAGAAACCCTCTCGAAAAGCCAAAGAACAAAAACAAAACAGAAGTCACTTTCCTGGGCTGGAGAGATGGCTCAGAGGTCAAGATTCCTGTCAGCTCTTCCAGAGGTCTTGAGTTCACTTCCCAGTAACCACATGGTGGCTAATAGCCATCTATAATGTGGTCTGATGCCTTTTTCTGGTGTGCGGCTGAGTTTTTAATATATTAAGGGAAACCTACCTCCCAAATCACAGTTTATAATCCCTTTTTCTGACATGTATATCATGTAATTTTTCTGTTTGTTTTCAGTGGAAGTTAAATTTTAAGTGGTGTGTTTGTTTTTTATTTTTTGTTAGTGTGTTGACCCTGATGGTTTGAGTGTTGAAATGTGTGCTATTTGATTTTTCCCTTCCACTTTGTACCAGTATATTTTCTGCGTGTAATAACAGGTAAAAATGTTTCTTAGTCTTGAACCCAGATTTGCCTGAATGTAATTGTATGTTATTCACTCCAGCACTGTATAATTCTATAAGTACTTAAAATTGTATTCTTTCCTCAATCTAAGTGAAAGCATATTTAAAATGTTCTTCTAATTTGACTGTACAATCAGAGTGAGGGGAAGATCTGGCTTCCTGGGGACATGAGAACATATTCTGGTGTTTGCTTTTGGAGACTTACTTCTTGTTGTTAGCACAGTGCACATTGTGTCCAGGACAAAGACTTTTAAACAGCTCTGAGATCTGTACAGATGTGTTAGACATACAAGGACAGGATATTAGCATTTAACTAAAAGTATTTATGCATAGTGTTAGAATGTACATTCTTTTTTCTCCACATTTGAAAATTCCTTTATAAGACACTTGCTCATCCACCCTCTACCAGCACAATGCTGGGCATAGAACATGTCTCCTGTGAACCTAAATTCTCCCTTTCCTCTTCTTTTAAAACCTTGTGTGGCTGGAGAGGTGGCTCAGAGTTTAAGAGCATTGACTGCTTTTCCAGAGGACTGGGGTCAGGTCTCAGTATCTACATCTCCAGATCCTCAAATAGATTTGTACTCCATTGCTTCTGGTCTCGGTGATGGTCTGAGTGCCATCACGTGGTACTCAGACATACACGTAGGCAAAACACCCATACATATAAAATGAAATAAAAAAATAAAGATCTGTCTGTTATAGCACACTCCTTTAATTACAGCACTGAAAGTTGGAGGCAGAGGATCCCTGTGAGTTCTGAGACATCCAGGGCTCTGTAGATAGACACTGTTGCAAAAAACAAAACAACAACAACAACAACAAAAATTAACTCTTGTATTTTAGTGAGAGTGGCTGCATAATGTTTATTATT